CAATGATTCTGTATTGCATTTGAATAATACAGCAATGTATATGTTGTAATAAATGTACCAGAAGGTAGTTTCATCCTCACAACTTGGTTTGTCAAAGATGCATTTGTTTTTTTTTATTTATTTTTATGAAATACAGTTTGCACTGTGTAATTAAACATCAGTCTAGTTGCAATGCAGCAGTGAGCTGGGCAACTTTTTCTATATTTTTTTTTCAGGTGCAATATTTGAAGATATTGTTAAAAATAAACCATACTGCTGAGAACATTTTGTAAGATTGGTGTAAGACAAGATGGTGTATTTAAAAACACCATCTTGTTCTCATTCGCAATCCCTTTTTGTCCTCCCAACAGAAGTCGTCTCTAGATCGTTCTCCCAGGCTGCTGGGCTCCAGGGTGCTGTCCCGGCTGCGCTCTCCAACCAGCAGACTGTCTCAGGGCAGAGGCCGGGGCTCCACCTGGGCAAGTGGCTCCCCTTACCACAGCTCTTCAGGAGGGGCCGGGTCCGTCCAGCAGCAGCAGTCTTCCCTCGGTCTGGTACTTGAGCCCAAGGGAGAGCCCCGCAGAGGGAGGGGCAGAGGGGTGAGGCTGCGGGGAGGAGGAGCAGGAAGAGGAATCAGAAGCGGTAGAAGCCAACATGGAGAGTTGGAGGAGGATGAGAGTGAGGACAGCAGCAGCAGCAGCAACAGTAGCAGCAGCAGCGACAACGATGAGGAATGGGAGAGAAGGCAGAACAGTGGGCAAGGGTTGGATAAAGAGAACCAGCCACAGTCGAGGCGAGGAGGACAGGCAGCCAAAGAAGGAGAAGAGGAAAGGGGTGAGGTGGCCAACCAAAATGGTGCTGAGGAGGAAGAGGTGGAGCAGGACAGTCAAACGGGGGGCAAAGATGGCTCGCATCTTAAAGTGACACTCCAAAAGCCCACCAAGGCCAAGCGGGACCCATCAGCCATTGTCCCCAAATTAGAGGCTGTTGCCCCTCAAACTGCCACTTCCACAATACACAACCAGACCAGAACCCTTGTCAGACCCCCCATTAGAAATTGCGGCCCCTGTCCTGATCAACACTCCAATACCCCCACACCACCACACACTCGCAGTGGACAGACATACACTCATACCTCCCACCCAAAGATGGCGGAGGCCTCTAAAAGAGCAAAGCTGAGCAGGCCTGCTAAACTGAGCAATGGTGCCTCATGTTCTTCCTCCTCTGAGCTTCCTCATCTCCGCATCCCTCTGTCCGCCCTGCAGGGAGGAGGGAGCGAGGCGGACAGGGAGGGCGGTGGGAACGGGCCGGGCTGTGAGAGGGAAGTGTGGGTGTCTGTCTTCCGCTACTTAAGTCGAGCTGATCTCTGCGTCTGCATGGCTGTCTGCAAGAACTGGTACAAATGGTAAGACCTCTTAGCAGATATATTTTTAATAAGGGATGGTTCCAATACCTGGAACCATTTTGGTCAGAAAAATACCTGTATTCAGTAAGCTCCAACGTTAACAAGCCTCTTTTTAAACCTTTTATCTCTTCTCACTCAATTTTGTTATCAGCAAGAGCAATACAAAACATATAGGTCACAGGCTTCTGATTTTTAGACTACTTTCTCTTTAGCCCATTAAAATGACACACATCACTGGCTTCAGATCAGCTGTAGCTAATTAACATTAATTCTGTAACTAAATGTTTGGATGTTCTGTGGTTAATGTGCTCTCTGCAGCTGGTGTCTGTATTTTGTAAAGGACACAACATTGTGGAACACCACTGTACACGAGTGAACTGTGTGCTCGTGAAGTTCAACGGCCAACAGTGGTGATCCAGCTGATCACCTCAATTTAAGAATCCAATTCTCCAATTAAACTTTTATATAACCAATTTTTATCTTAGCATTTAAATCTAATGCGCCTTATTTTTCTTTTTTTTAATAGCAAACTCAGTAGCGTTTATAGTAGTGAGTAGTGTCAGTGGCTCATATCGCTCTGCAAATAGATCACTAGATGAATGGATGTGTTCTTTACAAGTGTGTGCTTGTCCGTAGGTGTTTAGACAAGCGGCTTTGGGCACGGATTGACCTTAGCATCAAACGCACCGTTACTCCACAGGCCCTAACAGGCATCATAAAGAGACAGCCAGTCACGCTCGATCTCTCTTGGACCAACATCTCTAAAAAACAGCTGAACTGGCTTGTTGGCCGTCTGCCTGGTACGTAAACACACACACTAACTCTCTCTCTCTCTCTCTCTTTCATACAATTCTTTAAATTTCAATATGGTCATAGTAATAATCTAAATAAACACAACACTGAAACAAAAGAATCGTAAAAAGAATTTTTCTTTTTTTTTTAATTAAGTTTATTAATGTTATTATTTCATAATGGCATATTTAACTCATTGGTCCTTTTTGAAGTTTCAAATGAGATCTGAATCGGGTGTGTTTGCAGCAGCAACTTCTGTACATACTTTAAACACACTATCTAAATCTTCCTTTGGTTTTGCAGGGCTGAAGGATCTGATGCTGGCAGGTTGTTCCTGGTCATCTATTTCAGCTCTCTGCTCCTCTGGTTGCCCTCTCCTCCGTTCCCTGGACCTGCGGTATGCAGATGGGGTTAAAGACACTCAGATCAGGGATCTAGTCACCCCTCCAGGTGAGGACAGATTGGCCTTAGCAGCTACAGATTGATGGCTAGATATGTGTGACATCATCAGTTGTCATTATTTTTCCCTAATTTATTTCCCTGGGCTTTCTTCTCGTTTTACTTGTGTTTTGCTCTTTTTCTTATCTAACTCTTGAACATATAACCCGTCCGTTCCAGGCTGTGACAATCGCAGTCAGCTGCGGACCATGCAGTGTCTGCGACTAGCAGGCCTGGACATCAGCGACTCCACTCTGCGCCTGGTGATCCGCCATATGCCCCATTTAACAAAACTGGACCTCTCCCACTGCAACAGTCTCACCGACCACTCCATCAACCTGCTGACTGCAGTGGGCTCGTCTACCCGAAACACGCTCACAGAGCTCAACCTGGGAGGTGAGAGATTGATGGGAATAGCCTATTAGCGAGACACACACAAAAAAAGATGACACACAAACATGTTGCATTAGTTTTATTTTGCCATTAGTGATGTGTGTTTCTTTCCCAGGCTGCAGTAAACTGACAGACTCATGTCTGAAGTATCTCCGCCGCCTCTCTTTCATCTCACTGCTCGACCTGCGAGGCTGCAAAAGCGTCTCCCGCAAGGCCTGTGAGGCCTTCATCTCCGAGCTGTCTGTCAACACGCTCTACTGCCTATCAGATGAAAAACTGATCCAGAGGATATCCTAAGCACCTGCCTCTTCTTGACTGCAGAGGTGATTAGAGGTGGTATAGACAAGAGAGGGGATCCTGATATGTATCTGTATGACAAAGGACACAGGCAGGGAAGTTCACGTGCACCCGTATCACGTTAAAGGAGGGGCGGGGTCTAAACTGAGAGTGCTGACTCATGGTGTTGGTGAAAGGGGTTGTCACAGTTGGAACAAAATTTCTTTTCAACATTATGTCTTTTTCCCCATGTACCTACAAAGAGACTCAGGAGCTTTTTATGTTCTTTTGGGAATTAATGTGCGGAGAAAGCAAAAGGTATTTTTAATTTTTTTGGCAGAAGTGGGAGATAAGTTGTCTGTATTAAACGACACATCTTTTTGAAGTGCTCAACTCTTCAGACGATCTTGACTCCCATCAGAAACTCCTGCCTTTAAAAAAAAAAAAAAAAAAAAAAAAAAAAAAAAGACTACATCTTTGGAGTATAACTGTATTGTTCTGTTTGGCATAAAGTCTTATTTATCATCTAACTCATTTGATTTCTGCTACATCTGGGTGCTCCATATAGATGGCTATTTTTTTGTCAGATTCAAGAGAACAAATGTTAAGTTGTTTGACGACTTAGGTTTTATGGACAACAACTGTGCATTGAGATTTTTTTTTTTAGGACAACTAAAGTGACGGGTCTTTCACATCATGACTTATAAAGTGAGTGTTTTAGTTGTATGTTGTAATAAGACGCTTTGGTGCAACAGAAGTCCAATGGTATGCTTGATTAGTATACATGAGTGGTTGTGTAAAAGGGTAAAAAGAACAGCGTGAGAAGGCAATCGACAAGGCAAAGAGACCTCACCCCAACAAAAGGGCAGGTTGCATTAAGTGTATGGGGTAAGCCAAGGATTAGATGTCGGATAAATGGTGCATCTTTAAACAACTGTTCGACTTCAGGTGCTATGATTTCCAAACTCCTCAGCTTTGTTTTTGTACAGAAAAAACATTTAGAGCAAAAGTGTTAATACTATAGATGAAACTGCTCCCCACACCTTTTTTGTACACTTTTCTTTTCATGGATGGGAAAAAATGTGAGAATTTGCTTTTCACGGAATTTCATGACCATGTCCAATTCAATGTAGAGATGTATGATTTTGTTTGGGGGGGGGGGGGGTTGGTTATCATTTCTTTAAGCCCTTAAAAGTGTAGTGGTTCTGTATCAAAGGTCTCCTCCCAGACTGCTCTCCAGGCCATATCCCTTCAAAGGAATATAAGTATATAAAATATATACTTTTGTGTAAATGTGTTTTCCTCTTTTCGATTATCAAAACAGGAATCCTGTAGCATTGTAATTATTTTCTGAAGCCTTTTTCACTTTATGTTATTTGTGTTATTTTTCAAGAAAAATAAAAAATATATAAACAATGGGTAGAAATACAAGAAGCAAAATGTCAGCTGGACTACAGTTATACTAGTATTGCTTGGTTTTCGTGTTGAAAAGTTACCGTGATGATCAAACATCAGTCTTCCTGGCTCCACCCAGGTTTTCACCATAACCTGGAAATAAAGCGACGCCTAAATAAATAAATAAATAAACAAAGCTGCTGCAGCTGTTAATCAAGCTGCGTTTTGCCAGCTTTTTGCACAGTAACACGTGATTTTGACAGATGTGGTGTGGTTTATTGATCGTTAGCCAGGCAGGACTTGAGCGCCATCAGCAGCTGTCACCAACATCGTACCGGATTCCTCCAAATCGAGTGACCTGGAAGTGAAACTAGACTAAAGGCCGTATCTCGCTTTGTTTTGACAGACCGTAACAACGCTGCGATAAAAACAGGGTGGTTGCAGTAACAGCGGAGTAGCTAGCTAACTTTATCAATCGGGGATTTTACCCCTTTCCCCCCCCCAATAATAACGTTATATCCATCATAGAAAAAATGAAGGGACTTGCGAGGTGCATTTTGACCGACTAAATTATTTGAGAAGAATGGAAAGCAGGTGCTGAGAGGAGCAGGGAACAATGTTGTTATAAGCGAGTTAGCTAACGTTAGCTCAGCTAGCTGTTAGTTAACTACATCAAGTTAGTGGGCTGAGTTAGCCCGGCTAACTCAGCCCACTAATTTAAATAGGCACGCACAATATTCGGCTTTGCTGCCTAACATTAGCTGCTTGGAAATATTTGCTTTGTGACATTTTCCCCCCAGTGAAACACTCAGCGTTTAACCCTTATTTCTGCTTTTTACTACCGTTAAGCTAGCTAGCTAACCAGCTGTTAAGATCAGCGCTGAACTCGTTGCTTCAGTCTTGCTGTGGTGTCACTGCAATCTGTTGGCTGCTGAAGTCATTTTACAAACATAGCTTTACTGCTGTTGAACTGGCAGGCGGACGACAGCCATGGCCCAAGAAGCATTTCCTCTGCATTTTCTAGTCTGGAACAATCAGTACCTGGAGCTTGATCGGGAGCTGCAGAAGAAAGAGGTGAGTGAAGGAGGTTTATTTTGCATTTGGGATTTTACAGATGCGTTTGTTAGGTCGCACTGCATTGCGCTGATGCAGCTCGTGTGTTTTTGTGTGCAGCAGGATGTAGACCGTCTGGATCCGAGGGGGCGCACCCCGCTGGAGCTGGCTGTGTGTCTGGGCCACCTGGAGTCCACCCGGGTGCTGCTCAGGCACTCTGTAGACCCGACACACTGCAGCGCACAGGGCTGGACCAGTAAGTGCTCTGCTGTGGCTCCCAGTTTCATGCCCCGAGGCTGCTAAGGGAATAAGAAGCACCCACTGTCATTAACTGTGGATGTTACGTTTCAGTCTTGCAGGAGGCGGTGAGCACCGGGGACCCTGAGCTGGTCCAACTGGTACTCCAGTACAGAGACTTCAAGCGTGCGACTGAGAGACTGGCGGGCATCCCAGAGCTGCTCAGCAAACTAAGACAGGTAAAACTTCTTTACAGTCGGCTATTTTATTAAAAACTTTGAGCCTCCAGGTCTTTAACTCTACCTGCTGCCTTACACAACAAAGCTTTAGTTACTATTTATGGAAAGGGTTGTTTTTTTTTCTTTTCAGTGGAGAGCAACAAAGTTCAAAGCTGCTGTGTCAGTGCATCTTTTTCATCACTGCATGTTCCCAACATGTTCCCAAGTCTGATGAATCAGGATGCACAAATGTAAGATGACAGGGATATTTTGCTTTTGTTTGAGTAAGAGTTTTCATGGTGTCTTCCAGGCGCGGGACTTCTATGTAGAGATGAAGTGGGAGTTCACCAGTTGGGGTGAGTGTGTCTCACTTATTTGTTTTACCACAGAGGTCAGTTTCAGTACCGCAGTAGTTGGACAGCTCCTCCGGCAGCAGCCACAGCTCAGAGGACTTTGAAAAGTCCTGATTGTGTTTACTCCAATCAGTCAGTTTGAAACAGTGGCCTAAACACAAGACAGGGCAGGTTCATTTCAAAATGTATCCCACTACAAATTACAGATCCCCTGCCCTAAAGTGTTATCTGTAATGTAATGTGGTGTCCTGTGTTTGGATTACTTTGCCTTCTCAACTCTGCAGAAAATGCTCACGTAAACAGTTAATCCAGTTTTGTAGCTTATATTAGTGATCATCAATAATCAATTAATTAATGCCTTCTAACGTGTATTCTTTTCAATAACTAATAGGGGTGTGACGAGACACTTTTGCACATTGAACACTTTATTTCCTGCATTATGATGTTTTTTCTGCACCATTTTATGGTGATTTTCTTTTATTTATATAAAGAGAAACACACAATTGACGTGTGGAAAATTGTCAATTGTAACAATTTAATCTTACGAAATCTCATCACACCCCTAATAACTAATGAAATACAGCAAGCATTTTATAATGTCAGCCATTGTTACAACACTGTAATGTCTATAGTTGAACTATTTAGTTCCAGTCAGCTTTTTAATAAAGCAGTATAGTACAGGAATTTAATGTTAATTTCCCACTGACATATAAATCAAGTTCCATTTCTGTTTTTTTTATCATTATAAATGGAATACTTTTGGTATCTTTGCTGTTTGTTTTCTGACTAACAGCTGTCATTAGCTACAGCGCTGTGCAACAAGCTATATGTAGACATTTTCTAGAAAAACATTTAAACCCTGTAAATCTGCTTCTCATTCTCCTCTTGGTTTCTAAAACGCTTCTCCTCTCCTTCAATGTTCCTCTCAGTGCCCCTGGTGTCAAAGGTGTGTCCCAGTGACGTCTACCGGGTCTGGAAAAGCGGCTCGTGCCTCCGTGTGGACACCACCCTCCTGGGCTTTGAACACATGACCTGGCTAAAAGGACGACGCAGCTACATCTTCAAGGGTGGAGGTGCGTGTGCTCCTAGGACAGCATCAAATGCGTATGAACATGTACTTGAACAGCTGAGGTCGATGGATGGATGTTTTTGCTTTGAAAACTTTGAGTTGGACCCTGAAAGACTTAGAAAAGGGTCGTGGCTGTTGAGTGGACTCAAAGTTGCATGAATATGATTCATGTGGTGATATAAACAAACAAGCTAGCATCAGAGCTAGCAAGGCTATTTTGCTTACCTGAATCTTGTTTATTTCAATTGCCTGTTTCATTAGCCACTGGTTTAGGTTCCTATGTCTTTTGCCTTTCCTTTTCACCTGGGTGCTGCTCTTCTTAGACGACGGGGCCGTGGTGATGGAGGTGGACCATGAGAAGCAGGTGGTGTACACAGAGCCACTTGTGTTGTCTCCCCGTGACGCGCCCTCCCTACTCGCAGCCATGCAGCCGTCGCAGGAGAACACAGCTCAGAGACTCACGTCGCCCATCGTCTCCACGCACCTCAACACACGCAACATTGCCTTCGAAAGGTAACAAGCACGTTCTGTATACAGATGTACAAACAAGATTAATTTAATCAAGATCACATTGATATCTGAACCACCTTGCTTCATGGAGCTACTAACTTGCCCTGAAATTATTTCTTTAATTTGGGTTCAATGGATATGTTTTTTGTATCATGTTTGTGGCTTTACACCCTGTTTGAATCTGAGACAAAAATGTAAAGCCTGTAATGTAATTTAGCATATCATCTACAGACAATTCACATAAACTCTCACTATATAGAGTTACCATCACAACTAATTATTATTTTTCATGTATGTGCAACACCTTCATCACCCCGTGAGGCAGCTGCAGTAAATTATAGTCTAACCTCATCAGTGTAACAAATGTTACACTAACACAACTAATCTTTCCTTATGTGTCCCTGTCACGTCCCCACAGATTACTGCACTATTTGTCAATATGTCTATATTGTTTTGTTCATAGTGTGTATATTAGTGTTGTCTACTCTGTAGTTTGTGTCTGATTTTATTTTATTATTATGTTATTATTGTATAAGTAAGCACATCGTGAGCAATGTACAATCCCGAGTCAAATTCCTCGTATGTGTACACATACCTGGCAATAAAACTGATTCTGATTAAAAACATAAAAACACTAATAATATCTCTGCCCTTACTTTGTTTCTTTGCCTGTTTAGGAACAAGTCGGGAATCTGGGGCTGGCGATCTGAGAAGAGTGAGGTGGTCAGTGGGTACGAAGCCAAGGTGAGAGTGACCGCAGAGCCAACCCAGTTCATATGGGTTTTCAGAAGTAGCAAAGCTGGCTGAAACGTGTAGTTCACACCATTTGGTAGTTAGTGTAGTATTTTTCTATGAGCCAGTCTGCTGTTGAGACTGTTCTAGAAAGCATTTTTTAATAAAATTAACACAAGTAATAATGTGTCAGAAATCAGAGAGAGCTTTAGCACAAGAGATTGCTATTGTGTTTGTGAAAACGGACACAAATTTTTACAAGGGACAAGGGAAATGCAGACAAGAACATAGTGTGCGAACAGATAACAGACAAAACACAATATGCAGTTTGCTCTGTCAAACATAGACCAGGAGAGATTCTTCCTTACGCTACACCACACAGTTTTACCTACTGCTGTTTTAAGAAATGTATTTTTAACCCAAACAAATGTGTTAACAAGGAGCTTCACTTAAACAAAGTGTGTGTTTTGAGTGTTTTTTGTGCGTCGTCTGGTCCAGGTTTACAGTGCCACCAATGTGGAGCTGGTGACTCGGTCAAGGACGGAGCATCTGTCAGACCAGGATAAGTCGAGGAGCAAAGGTAAACACACCAACACGACAACGCCCACGCAGTAAGTCCTTTTGCACTTATAACCATAGTGGTGGGAAGGCAATATGTCAAAACCAGTGTAAGTAATTGAAACTTAATGTACGAAAAATGACTTAACACTTTTGATCACTATGTAGTTCCTTTTGACTCACAGTACAGAGTTATTTTCCCCTCAGTGTATTATGATGTTATTTATGATCCAGTGCTCCAGATGCATCTCTTGCCTTCCTTGTAGAGCGAAAAATAGACTGAATTAGCAGATTGATGACGATGATGATGATGATGATGATGATGATGATGATCTCCTTACATTATTCCCACTCAGGCTCAAAGACTCCTCTGCAGTCCTTCCTGGGGATTGCTGAACAACACACAGCTCACAATGGGGTAAGAGACTCCACCCACACCACCTGCAGCTTTCTGTAATGAACACAGTCACTTACAGCTCTCTCTCTTTCTGCATTTCTATCAGAGTAATGTATCCCAGTGTGCCAGCCCTCACAACCCCACGGCCATCACAGCCGAGGAGTATTTCAACCCAGAGTTCAACCTGAACGGCCGGGACATCGGACGTCCCGTCGAGCTTACCAGCAAAGTCCAGAAGTATGATGCAGCCGCAGAAACACACAGCGTTAATGCTCATCACTTAAAGCTTTCTTTATGGACCAGTTTGCTCAAAACGGGGGTGTTGCATCTCCTCCTCTCTGTCCGTCTCCCTTTTCCATCTCCAGGTTTAAAGCGACCCTGTGGTTGAGCGAGAGTCACCCTTTGTCCCTGGCCGAGCAGGTGACACCCATTATCGACCTCATGGCCATCTCCAATGCCCACTTTGCCAAGCTGCGGGACTTCATCACGCTGCGCCTGCCGCCAGGTTTCCCTGTCAAGATAGGTGGGTATGAGAGATGTGGGTTATTTCCTGTGTGGAGTTGGACATGGGTCTTGAGTTTATTAAAACTAGGTTCAAGCACCACACATTGATTCTCTAGTAGCTCCAGGTGTGTTGGTCTGTAACTGTCTGTTGCTAAATTGACATGTTAAACCTAAAATAATGAGAGCTAAAAGCTTTAGTCTTCTGGACTAATTGTTTTGCCTGATTCACGTTCTTTGTGTGTGCCACTGTATGTTTTTCATTTGCGCTGCCGATTGGTGCTACAGGAATAATCAGTTATTTAAATCTTTCAAAAACTCACTGTCTGCCCTCCAGAGATTCCCTTGTTTCACGTGTTGAACGCTAGAGTGACGTTCAGTAACCTGTGCGGCTGCGACGAGCCTGTCAGCTCTGTGACTGTTCACCAAACCGAGAGCTCCGAGGAAGCTGGTGACTATTTACTCACATATAAACACCAGTGAAAGAACATTAGGTAATACCTGATGTTTTTAAATCACATAGAGATCATCTGGTTCTGAAACTTTAAAAAATATGTCTGTAGTAGAACAAGAGTGAGTAGATAATATATCACAGTGCAGAATATTTTAATTATAAAACTGTTTCATCACATTTAGTTTGTTGCTTTGAAGATAAGGTCATTTCTTGTTGTTTGCTGTGTTCTGTTTTGTTTCCAAAACAGAACACAGGCTTAGTATTAGTATTATAGTTTTATTTTTTGTATTGATATACTTTTAACTTGTAGTTACAGTAAGGTTGTAACCCATCTTCACCCAGGTCAGTCTCCCACTCGCTTCGACTGTGAGGTGGACCCCTCGGTGTTCGAACCACCCGCGGACTACACCACCCTTGGTCCAGGCCGCAGCGAGCCGATGAGGGACGAGGATGACAACCTGCTGCAGTTCGCCATCCAGCAGAGCCTGCTGGACGCCGGCACAGAGAGTGACCAGGTCAAAACAAGGCCTCGCCTGAGAGTCCGCCCAGTAACTCCTAATTAGTCTTAATTAGATACGTATCAGATGTGCGACTAGACATCGTCATCTTCTGCATAGTAACACCTTATTATTGTTTTGAAGTATGCTTTGCACAGTCTGCATTCTCCCCACACTCTGACACACTCACACACCTACACCTCAGGTACAGTGGGTACGGAAAGTATTCAGACCCCTTTCAATTTTTCACTCTTTGTTTCATTGCAGCCATTTTCCAAAAATCAAAAAGTTCATTTTATTTCTCAGTAATGTACACTCAGCACCCCATCTTGACAGAAAAAAAAACAGAAATGTAGAAATATTTGCAAATTTATTAAAAAAGAAAAACTGAAATATCACATGGTCATAAGTATTCAGACCCTTTGCTCAGTATTTAGTAGAAGCACCCTTTTGATCTAATACAGCCATGAGTCGTTTTGGGAAAGATGCAACAAGTTTTTCACATCTGGATTTGGGTATCCTCTGCCATTCCTCCTTGCAGATCCTCTCCAGTTCTGTCAGGTTGGATGGTAAACGTTGGTGGACAGCCATTTTCAGGTCTCTCCAGAGATGCTCAATTGGGTTTAAGTCAGGGCTCTGGCTGGGCCATTCAAGAACAGCCACGGAGTTGTTGTGAAGCCACTCCTTCGTTATTTTAGCGGTGTGCTTAGGGTCATTGTCTTGTTGGAAGGTAAACCTTCGGCCCAGTCTGAGGTCCAGAGCACTCTGGAAAAGGTTTTCGTCCAGGATATCCCTGTACTTGGCCGCATTCATCTTTCCCTCGATTGCAACCAGTCGTCCTGTCCCTGCAGCTGAAAAACACCCCCACAGCATGATGCTGCCACCACCATGCTTCACTGTTGAGACTGTATTGGACAGGTGATGAGCAGTGCCTGGTTTTCTCCACACATACCGCTTAGAATTAAGGCCAAAAAGTTCTATCTTGGTCTCATCAGACCAGAGGATCTTATTTATCACCATCTTGGAGTCCTTCAGGTGTTTTTTAGCAAACTCCATGCGGGCTTTCATGTGTCTTGCACTGAGGAGAGGCTTCCATCGGGCCACTCTGCCATAAAGCCCCGACTGGTGGATTGCTGCAGTGATGGTTGACTTACTACAACTTTCTCCCATCTCCCGACTGCATCTCTGGAGCTCAGCCACAGTGACCTTTGGGTTCTTCTTTACCTCTCTCACCAAGGCTCTTCTCCCCCGATAGCTCAGTTTGGCCGGACGGCCAGCTCTAGGAAGGGTTCTGGTCGTCCCAAACGTCTTCCATTTGAGGATTATGGAGGCCACTGTGCTCTTAGGAACCTTAAGTGCAGCAGAAATTTTTTTGTAACCTTGGCCAGATCTGTGCCTTGCCACAATTCTGTCTCTGAGCTCTTCAGGCAGTTCCTTTGACCTCATGATTCTCATTTGCTCTGACATGCACTGTGAGCTGTAAGGTCTTATATAGACAGGTGCTCTGACATGCACTGTGAGCTGTAAGGTCTTTATATGAGACATACTTATGACCATGTGATATTTCAGTTTTTCTTTTTTAATAAATTTGCAAAAATTTCTACATTTCTGTTTTTTTTTCTGTCAAGATGGGGTGCTGAGTGTACATTACTGAGAAATAAAATGAACTTTTTAGATTTTTGGAAAATGGCTGCAATGAAACAAAGAGTGAAAAATTTAAAGGGGTCTGAATACTTTCCGTACCCACTGTAAACACCCCGGCTTGCCCCTCCTCACTCTCCCCCCGTCTGCTCCATTTTCTCCATCAGCAGTATGTTTTATAAAGTCGCCTAAAAGACTGAGAACTAGTCTTTTTTCCGTACATTTCCACTGGCAATCCGTTATCACGGCAGCAAGTGAGCCACACGTCAAACAACTGAAACCAACATCTGCACTGTGTGTTCACGGCTGCTTTACCTGGTCCGTGCGTAAAATACCCACCGCGACTTGTAACATAAGTTAATAGTCTACCAATTTTTTTAACCGAGTGAAGTCTGTGCAAAAACACATGGACATAAGACGACTGTTGCCACCCCCCGCGTGCGCACCCAATGACATCGTCCATCCCGATGTTTCATTGTAGACATCGTTCGATGGAAATTTTATAGACATCGCCCAACCATAGTTCTTGCATTTCTTCTTTTCTATCTCTAAACATTTTAAAATGTGGGTTCCCTTACATTTAAAGCCAGGTGTGACTCTTATGTATGGTTTTTAGGTGACCATCTGGGAGGCCCTGACCAACAGCCGCCCTGTGCCCCCGAGTCCACTGTATGAGGAAGACTCTCAGTTGGAGAGGTGAGCCGACCTTCAGACTTTACCTCTGTTTGCTTCCCAGGCAGGTTCAGGCTGGAGAGCAGATTCTAGGTGAACTCTGCTGTTAAGTATATCAGCTATTTTTTTAGGCGATTAGCATTACAGTGAGGAAAATAAGTGTTTGAACACCCTGCTATTTTGCAAGTTTTCCCACTTAGAAATCATGGAGGGGTCTGAAATTGTCATCGTAGGTGCATGTCCACTGTGAGAGACATGATCTAAAAAAAAATAAAAATCCAGAAATCACAATGTATGATTTTTTTAACTATTTATTTGTATGATACAGCTGCAAATAAGTATTTGAACACCTGTCTATCAGCGAGAATTCTGACTCTCAAAGACCTGTTAGTCTGCCTTCAAAATGTCCACCTCCACTCCATTTATTATCTTAAATTAGATGCACCTGTTTGAGGTCATTAGCTGCATAAAGACACCTGTCCACCCCATACAATCAGTAAGAATCCAACTACTAACATGGCCAAGACCAAAGAGCTGTCCAAAGACACTAGAGACAAAATTGTACACCTCCACAAGGCTGGAAAGGGCTACGGGGAAATTGCTAAGCAGCTTGGTGAAAAAAGGTCCACTGTTGGAGCAATCATTAGAAAATGGAAGAAGCTAAACATGACTGTCAATCTCCCTCAGACTGGGGCTCCATGCAAGATCTCACCTCGTGGGGTTTCAATGATCCTAAAAAGGTGAGAAATCTGCCCAGAACTACACGGGAGGAGCTGGTCAATGACCTGAAAAGAGCTGGGACCACCGTTTCCAAGGTTACTGTTGGTAATACACTAAGACGTCATGGTTTGAAATCACGCATGGCACGGAAGGTTCCCCTGCTTAAACCAGCACATGTCAAGGCCCGTCTTCAGTTTGCCAATGACCATTTGGATGATCCAGAGGAGTCATGGGAGAAAGTCATGTGGTCAGATGAGACCAAAATAGAACTTTTTGGTCATAATTCCACTAACCGTGTTTGGAGGAAAAAGAATGATGAGTACCATCCCAAGAACACCATCCCTACTGTGAAGCATGGGGGTGGTAGCATCATGCTTTGGGGGTGTTTTTCTGCACATGGGACAGGGCGACTGCACTGTATTAAGGAGAGGATGACCGGGGCCATGTATTGTGAGATTTTGGGGAACAACTTCCTTCCCTCAGTTAGAGCGTTGAAGATGGGTCGAGGCCAGGTCTTCCAACATGACAATGACCCGAACCACACAGCCAGGATCACCAAGGAGTGGCTCTGTAAGAAGCATATCAAGGTTCTGGCGTGGCCTAGCCAGTCTCCAGACCTAAACCCAATAGAGAATCTTTGGAGGGAGCTCAAACTCCGTGTTTCTCAGCGACAGCCCAGAAACCTGACTGATCTAGAGAAGATCTGTGTGGAGGAGTGGGCCAAAATCCCTCCTGCAGTGTGTGCAAACCTGGTGAAAAACTACAGGAAACGTTTGACCTCTGTAATTGCAAACAAAGCCTACTGTACCAAATATTAACATTGATTTTCTCAGGTGTTCAAATACTTATTTGCAGCTGTATCATACAAATAAATAGTTTAAAAAATCATACATTGTGATTTCTCACAATGTATCTGTCTCTCACAGTGGACATGCACCTACGATGACAATTTCAGACCCCTCCATGATTTCTAAGTGGGAGAACTTGCAAAATAGCAGGGTGTTCAAACACTTATTTTCCTCACTGTATATTCTCCATGGGTTGAGTAAGTCAGTGTCAGGTACAGACATCAGAGATGTACAGAAAAGCAGATGAATGTTCTGTATTGATTTTTCACATTTCTGGTTAATTCTTGTCATTTTGTACTTTATGAACAGAGAATAATAAAAATAAGGATGAAAAATCTTAGATTTAGCAGAGCTTGAAGCTGTCATCTAGGTCTACCTGTCAGTTCAGTCCACCGCCTTTTTTAGTTGTTACTGTACAACCATTTAACTCATGCTTATTCATAATTTGTTCTTATTCAGGGAAACCTGTGGCTTGTGAAGTCATTTAATTAAACATCTCTGAATAGGCTCCAGTGATTAGCTTTTTCTTTCCACCTTCTCATGGGAACAGCAGCTCCCACTTGTCACATAACAAAGCTCCACACTGAAACTTTACTGTTAAGATTCCCTTCTTTGTCTAACAATACATCAAGCCTTATATTTTTTCTTACTTTTCTCAGGGCAATCCAGGAGTCCCTGTCCATCTCACTGGTCAGCAGAGAGGGAGAAGACATGGCCGACCCCAGCCAGCCCTCCTCCGTCTCCCCGCTGGACCCCACCGCCAACTCCCCACTCTCCTACAGCGCAGTGACCGATCCGCGGCTGTCGGTACAGTTTGGTGTGGCGTCGAGCTTCGACGAGCAGCTGCGTATGGCCATGGAGCTGTCGTGCCGGGAGCAGGAGGAGATGGACAGGTGAGGCGGGAGCAGTATGACATGCATGACCTCACCTGAGTCAACACCGTCAATGTTGGAATCAACTCCGAAAGCTTGTTTGAGTGACCCAGAGGATGTTTGACTCAGAATTGGAGCTATTTCAGACATCCAGAGGTTAGAGGGTAGAGGTCCCGCAAGGAAATCTATACATGCTTATCCTGTGCAGTCCCAGCATGCACATGTCTTTGGACCATGGTAGGCAGAAAAACTCTGCACCACTGTGCATGTTTTTTTTGTTATGGAATGAGTGGACTTCTATTGTCTGGGCTGTGAGCACACACAGGGAGTGCTGCAGTGTGCTTTTCCATCTCAAACTATGTTTTGGCACCAAAGTGTGACAAACAACATCTGCAACACAGCGGGTAGTCAAAATCTCCTAGCATCCAAATCCAAGGAAACTGTCTCTTAGTTGTCATCCGTTCCATGTTGTTATTCGTGCGCATTAATACTGCGATGCTACAATAAAGATATGGTTCAGGCAAGGTTGTGTAGTGTGAGTGAGTCAATTTTATTTATTTAGTATATAGCACCTTTCGCAGAGCAAGGTCACAAAGTGCTCCACAGAGTGAAATGACTCAAAATAAGAACATAAAAACAGTAAAAGGAACTACAATAAAACATAAGCAACAACAGAGGTTAAAAACACACCAGATTACAAACACAGCATGAGGCGAGACAAAGGCCAGTTTGGATAAATGAGTGTTCAGCTGCTTTTAAAGGCATAAACAGAGACCGCAGAACGTTAAGTCTAAAAGCAGTAGTCCTAGTAGTCCTGGGTTATGTGATGTTTGCCATTCATATAGTGCAACTTCGGCTGACTAATCAGTAATCGGGTGAATTTTATTTTTTTTCTATGCCCAACCTTCAGGGACAGTTTTGCCCTCTGTAATCTGACTCGATGAAGGGTTAGATACCAGGAAACTGAGATTACAGTATTTACATAGAATTTCCACCCAAATCTCCTTCCTTTTCCCTGGGAAAAAATAAATTACCTGCAGGTATTTTTAGCACACATGTTCCTTTTGTGTCTTTTGGTAAAGCTTATTTTACATACTGAAACAAAGATGCCTTCTCCAAACCCCATTAATGCTACCATGAACTATATTGTAGCTAATACTTAAGTCTGACACTAAAATGCCCTTATTACAGTAATTAACGGTATCAACTTTTTAGCTGCTGTGCTTAGTTTTCATTATGTTGGATGCTAAAATGGCACCATTACAGTACAGGATTTTTTTCAAGTGGTTCAAAAGTGGCTTAATAAGACATGATTGCCTCTATCCCTGTACTTGGACGTCCAAGATCAATGCTCCTGTGCTTTAATCCACTATATTAACATGCCAGATTTGCTGTACGCAACAGATTTTCCTTCCTGGCACTGCACACAACCTGAGGTCAGCACTGTAAAGCTGGTCAGATGCACCCGTATAAGCACTCAGATCAAACCATTCTCTACAAGTCAGCATTTAGTTCTTTCCACTAAAAAATGTGGCGTACTTCAAAGAGGATTTTTTCTACTTCACATGCTCTAACAAAAATGAGAGAATAACATTAGAAGATTACAATAAACATCTGCAGTTCTTTTAGTTTGAAATGAAACTTCAGTTAAGGTGAGCAATATGGAGTATTATATTCCTGGAAGTAAGTAAATCACAGGAACGTCATTGTTCTTACTTACGAACTTTTATTTCTTTTTTTCGTAGGCAGCAGAAGGAGGAAGAGGAGGAGCTAGAGAGGATCCTGCAGCTGTCACTCACCGAGAAGTAATGTCACAATCAGCACAATGGAGCGACGGTCTTCATTGGGGAACAATCCTCTTAATTTATTCAGTTTTATTTTTTAAATCCTGAGATGTTAAGTTATTACAGATACTTTATTTGTCTTTCTCACATGAAGGCTGCTACGACAGAGTGTAAAGGACCAGAATATAAGAAGTGTGAGTGAAACGCAGGCGGGAGGTGGAAACAGGTACTCTTAAACACACTACAGTGAAGGAGGAGACAAAAGGGAGATAGTTTTCTTTATTTTCTTTTTTTATTGAACATTTTTCACAGTCTTGCTGTCTTTATCAAGTGATGAATGATCCTTAAACTTTAATCCTACAGTATAACATGCTCCATGATAATGATGAAAATTAAGAAAGTACAGTCTTAATGGAATAACTTAATATAAAAATATGATTATAACATTTGAAACATTATGTTGGCTTACTGCTATGTGTGAAAAATAAAGAGTAATGATCATCCTGGATTCTGTTTTTTTGTTGTTTTTTTTAATTAACGCTTTAAAACAATGATAAAAAGATTGACATGTAGCATGCAATTTTGTATTGTACAGTTTGATTATTCTTTCATATCAAAAATGGACAATAATTCAGATCTGCTCAATAATTGGCTCAGGCAAGTCTTTTGATCATTTTTATACTTTTAAGCCACAATTCTGGAGCAAAAACAAAGCATGACAACCTTTTGCGAGACAAAAAACATTGCTACCACATGTAGCTGAAACTAGAGCTGCAATGATTAGTCGTTCAAAAGAAAATTAATCTGAAACTACTTGCTAATTAATCAGTTGTTCTTAAAGCAAAAATGCCAAACTTCTGCTGAAATGTGAGGATTTGCAGTTTTGTCAGGAAATTAATAATCTTTTGATTTGGGTTGCTTTTTTTGCTTAATTTGGATTGACGTGACAATTTGAAGGCGTCACTTTGGTCTCTGGGATATTGTGATGTTTTACATTTTTCACCACTTGTTGACATTCCATATACCAATTGATTAACTGAGAAAATAATCGTTGGTTGCAGCCATAATTGTGGTCATATTATCTATTTAAATTGGGTCATAATGATATCAAAGCGCTCTTAACCTTTTGTGTACGATTGAACAGTTTTCAGCTTAATGTAAACAGTCTTTCTTGAAGACAGTAATAGATCATAATTTTCAGTGATAATAATGTTATACTGTTGAAATGTGAAAACCTTGCACATCCATATGACATATGGCTCTCAAATTAATGGCTCAGTGAAATACACAAACATTTACTTTTATGGCTTGGCGCAAAACTTTGTACACACATTCTTGGTTCATAGATGAAGTATGAATGTCACCATGAAGATGAAATCTCAACAACTATTGGATGGATTGCTAAGATATTTTGTACAGACACTCGTGTTCTCCAAAGGTTGACTTGTTATTTTGATCCCCTGACTTTTAATCTAGCACCATCATCAGTTCACGTGTTTATATTGTCCAAATACCTGCAAAACTAATGACATTCTCATCAGACTTGTTAGCATGCCAGCATGTTAAACTAAGATGGCTGTTTCTACAACACGTATTATAGCACATTAGCATTAGCCTGCTGACATAAAGCACTTTGTACGGCCTCAAAGACATGATTGCAGACTCTCATGTCTCATAGTCTTGTCATTTCACATTTTAGCTATACATTTCAACTTGTCAACATGAACAGTGCACTGAAGCACAGACAGTTCCAAGAGAGGTGGACAAGGCATTTGTGTTTTTGTGGAGTTTAACAGGAGCGTTACAGTGGATATAAAAAGGTTACACACCCCTGTTAAAATGCCAGGTTTTTGTGATGTAAAAAAAAAATGAGGCTAAGATAAATCATGTCCTATAAAGTGAACAACTGAAAAACAAAATGAAATCTTTAAGGGGGAAAAATTAAAAAAATCCAAAACTTACAATAACTTAGTTGCATAAATGTGCAAACCCTCTTATAACTGGGGATGTGGCTGTATTTAGAATTAACCAATCACCAGCACGATAACGACACAAAGCCCAGACCTGAATCCAATTGAACATCTGTGTGGTGATCTGAAGAGGGCTGTGCACAGGCGATGTCCTCACAATCTGACAGAATTGGAGTGCTTTTGTAAAGACGAGTGGGCCATGCTAAAATAGTGTGTTGTAATAAAATCAAAATTTTAGTAAGTATGTATTCGTGTAAGGGTGTGCACGCTTATGCAAACAGGCTATTGTAAGTTTTGTATTCCCCCCTCCCCCTAAAAGATTTCAGTTAGTTTTTTCAATTGAATTGTTCACGTTATGGGTCACATTAAAGGTGGAAAAAATGGTGACAGATTTATATTTATCTTTGTCTCCTCACAAAAACATGGCATTTTATCAGGAGGGTGTAGACTTTTTATATCCACTGTACCTGTCTCATCTGGAAAAGATGTGTTACAGCCCCTCTGAAGAGAGGACAACCTGACCAGAGGCCCATGGGTTTGAGACCCATGCTTTAAGAAATTGAGAACCTTTCGTTTTAATTTAACCGACGCACATTATTAACTTTGTCCAGTGGATTTTTGTTGAAAGATTTTCACGGCACTAAATGTGGTCCTTAAAAGTGGTCCACATTGAATTAGCAGCACATGCCTCACACTGTTGAGCTGTTTATATTCCACTGTGCTGTGCTTGAGCGGGACTTTTCAGTGGTTTCGTTCTCATAGGTGGTGATTTCCTCCTCGTCAGTAGCAGAGATGGTTTCCTTGCGTAGTTTTAAAATTTCCCGAAGCTCTCCATCCAGCTGAACTTTTTCAGATAAGAACATACACATGGTCACACATTTAGACTGACTTTACTCGCTGACATGTACGCTTTTATGCGCAAACCTAAAGCAGCTCTTTAAGTAGCCTACTAATGTTAAAACAAATGCTCACCTAGGTTTAGGTTGTTGGCACCAGGACTGTGGTCATCAGGAACCACATATTCAGTCTCCTCTGTCTTGGTAGGAGGGGGCAGAAGCTCCTCTTTGGTCTGCGAGCGCGGCATAGGTGCCACTTGTGCCTTGGGTACCGTTTTAGGTGCAGCTGAGGTGATGTTGATGCACTTTGGAGTGGGGAACACATCTGTTGAACACACACACACAAACATTAAGAGTTGTGTTCTTGCCGCTGAGCCTGAGACTATTTGTAACAGTGGCATTCCTCTTACTGATGCAAGTGTCGTAGGGCTGAGATGGCATGTAGGGATGAAGACGGTACTCTGTCTTTTCAATGAAGAATTTAATTACATCGTTTAAGGAGGAGACCATCACCTACAGAAGAGAGGACACATGAAGAAAACACAGTTTATTAATGATGATTCAGATGATTTATAATTGCATATTTTCAGGTTTCCCATACTTTGGCTATTGAACACTGCACTCCAACTATGTTGGTGATCAGGGTATCCAAGCTAGATTAAAAAATAACTGAAATACATATAATTATGTCAATTATTCATTCAATTGGCATGAATGTCAAACAACAATATTGCCAACTATTGCAAACTTAAAATATAATACAAAAGAACAATTCATTTCATACAGTTCATTAAATAAAATAAATAAAACAGTAAATGTGTGTGTGTGCCATGTTTTTGTTCTTATATTTTGTATAATATGTATTATATCTCTCATAATAAATAGAAAAAATATCTACGTTACTATTTGAGGCAAAGAAGTGGATCAACATTCAGTGGTAATTTGCTAGCAACACTCATACACATGAACCTTCTCACAAGGAGTGGACGTTTCAAGCATAATAAACTTCAAAGATTAAAGGAACCCGATCCACATTTTCTTCACTGGAAACAAGCATGTACAGGTGCATCTCAGAAAATTAGAATATCCTGAAAAAGTTCATTTATTTCAGTAATTCAACTTAAAAGGTGAAACTAATGGGGATGACTGTAGCCTGGAGAGGATTGTCAGGAAAAGGCCATTGAAATGTGTGGGGGAGATTCACAAGGAGTGGACTGAGGCTGGAGTTACTGCATCAAGAGCCAACACACACAGACGGGTCCTGGACATGGGCTTCAAATGTCGTATTCCTCTTGTCAAGCCGCTCCTGAACAACAAACAACGTCGGAAGCGTCTTACCTGGGCTAAAGAAAAAAAAGAACTGGTCTGTTTCTCAGTGGTCCAAAGTCCTCTTTTCTGATGAGAGCAAATTTTGCATCTCATTTGGAAACCAAGGTCCCAGAGTCTGGAGGAAGAATGGAGAGGCACACAAACCAAGATGCTTGAAGTCCAGTGAGAAGTTTCCACAGTCTGTGTTGGTTTGGGGAGCCATGCCATCTGCTGGTCCACTGTGCTTTATTAAGTCCAGAGTCAGAGTCATTTTCCAGCAGGACTTGGCACCTGCCCATAAGTACCAAAACCTGGTTCAATGACCATGGGATTACTGTGCTTGATTGGCCAGCAAACTCGCCTGACCTGAACCCCATAGAGAATCTATGGGGCATTGCTAAGAGAAAGATGAAAGACATGAGACCGAACAATGCAGAAGAGCTGAAGGCCGCTATTGAAGCATCCTGGTCCTCCATAACACCTCAGCAGTGCCACAGGCTGATAGCATCCATGCCATGCCGCATTGAGGCAGTAATTCATGCAAAAGGGGCCCAAACTGAGTATATATGCATGATTATACTGTTCAGAGGCCTGACATTTCTGTATTTAAAATCCTCTTATTGATTTCATGTAATATTCTAGTTTTCTGAGATTTGGGGTTTTCATAAGCTGTACGCAATAATCATCTAAATTATATCAAATAAAGGCTTGAAATATCTCACTTTGCATGTAATGAGTCTATATAGTATTAGTTGCACCTTTTCAGTTGAATTACTGAAATATTCTCACGATATTCTAATTTTCTGAGATGCACCTGTATGTCAGGTTTGGTACATGAATGTCATTTTAGCAGCTGACTTGGAAGGATCTTAATTCCTACAAGCACGCAGCAACATTTTCATTTTCTTTCTATTGGACTTACTGGTGTCTCTAGTTCAATGACAAACCCTGAGTTTGTGGAGGTTACTCTGTAGTTCTTCTTGACAGGCCCACTGAAACACAAGGAAGAGCGGGGGTTATTCACTTACCCCCGACTGGGCCGTTGATAAACAACTTTTTTTTTTTATATATGAAATGTAAACAATTTGGAATGAGCAAAAAAACAACAAGCACCTATCAACATGTTTATCTATCAATCATAGCATCTTGTGGTTACTGATTGTCATAACTACATTACTCTGAAATGTAAATGCTAATAAGTAAATAAGACATTGATCCTACAGTAACACTTTTTATATTTGTGTTGAGGAAAAACATTTGTCGTTTAGACACCTTTATACTTTTGTCTACGCATACGTGTAGGTGCAGAAAATTCATTACATGCCAAGGGAGATATTTCAAGCCTTTATTTGATATAATTTTGATGATTATTGCTTACAGCTTATGAAAACCCCCAAATTCAAAATCTCAGAAAATTAGATTATCTTCTTGGTTTGTGTGCCTCTCCATTCTTCCTCCAGACTCTGGGACCTTGGTTTCCAAATGAGATGCAAAATTTGCTCTCATCAGAAAAGAGGACTTTGGACCACTGAGAAACAGACCAGTTCTTTTTTTCTTTAGTCCAGGTAAGACGCTTCCGACGTTGTTTGTTGTTCAGGAGCGGCTTGACAAGAGGAATACGACATTTGAAGCCCATGTCCAGGACCCGTCTGTGTGTTGGCTCTTGATGCAATAACTCCAGCCTCAGTCCACTCCTTGTGAAGCTCCCCCACACATTTGAATGGCCTTTTCCTAACAATCCTCTCCAGGCTACAGTCATCCCTGCTGCTTGTGCACCTTTTTCTTCCACACTTTTCCCTTCCACTTAACTTATTAATGTGCCTTGATACAGCACTTTGAGAACATCCAACTTCTTTTGCAATTACCTTTTGAGGCTTTCCCTCCTTGTGGAGGGTGTCAATGATGGTTTTCTGCACAACTGTCAGGTCAGCAGTCTTCCCCATGATTGTGAATTCCACTGAACCAGACTGAGAGACCAATTAAAGGCTCAGGAACCCTTTGCAGGTGTTTTGGATTAATTAGCTGATTAGAGTGTGACACTTTGAGCCTACAATACTGAACCTTTTCACAATATTCTAATTTTCTGAGATTTTGAATTTGGGATTTTCATAAGCTGTAAGCCATAATCATCGAAATTATATCAAATAAAGGCTTGAAATATCTCACTTGGCATGTAATGAGTCTATATAATATATTAGTTTCACCTTTTAAGTTGAATTACTCAAATAAAACTTTTGCACGATATGCACATTTTTCGACTTTCACCTGTATATGTGTGTGTGTATGCAAATAGTTACACAGAAATTAGTACATTGACCCTCCATGATTCTGCACTTTAGTGGGGCACCTTGTTGTGGGATCATGAGACTTACCCTGCTGTGTGGTCCCACACTAGATGCAGCACTTTCCTGCACCGAATAGCACTTTAATACATTTAATTGCACTTTAAACTGCATAACTTGTACTTTACAACATATTTACTTGCTCTTTATGTGAGATTTACTGCAGTAACTAGCTCATGATCTGCATAACAGAGCATAATGACTGTCTCATATATTGTGGTGCATTTTATTATTCCTTCTATTGTTTTATTATGTTCTTTTTTTGTATTGACCTTTGTAACAATCTGCTGGGGACTACAGATTAAAATTAGCCTTCTGACTAAATCTGGCAAATTTACATAGATGCAATGCTGAAATGTTCATTAATGTGCGCTGTCCCTTTTAAATAAATAAATAAGATTACATTCCCCCACACCTCCACTGTGTCATTCGGATTTTACACAACAAAGTTCAAATTAAATTGCATTCCTGTCCTGGTTAACAAGATGCTACAAAGATCCAGATATGGTATAGTTTTTTTAGGCAACGTGATTTGATTGTTATGGAGGACACTTCTCTTCCTGTATGTCATATGACTCGCAAGGTGTAATATACAATAATACAGCGCTGATATAAAAGAAAAACTAAAAAACAAATACTCTATTTGTGTGATGTGATCTCTTTTATATATTATTTTGTAGTCACTGGTACATTTCAGAGGTTGAGATGAAACGTCAGACCTGGGCGTCAGTTGTCTGAGGGTCAGGGCGTAGTTTTTGGCCAGGGTGGATGGGCGGAGGATGATGCCTCCATACTCTGGATTTGCCTCCAACATCCGCTCAGCCTCCTGCCGAGTCACACTGAAGTAACACCTGCAGGAATCAAAGAAATAAACACTTTCTCGATAAGGTGCAGGTTAAACTGTTTTGGAGGGCAAAGAACACATAAAATATTTATTGGTTTAGGATAACAGCAAGGGCGGCACATCAGAAATGCTCAAAAACCCTGTCTAATAATCACCTTCGTTTTCAAGGAGGCAGGGATCTACAGACTGGAACTGAAATTGGAGGATTGAGGATTGAGGAAGAATCCAAAAAGGTACATTTCTGGAGACAGAATAACTTACGAAGGAGTCTCAGGGTCGCTGCGGTCAATCTTGTCTTTGGACGTTGGAGGGGAGGTGGAGGCTGAGATTAGGAAGGATGGGCGGGGTGGGAGGGGTGGACGCGACATGGCAGAATTTCGTCTCTTCTCCTGAAGCAGAACCTCCTTCAGAAGCAAAATCTGTCCAGGCAGCAGCTGCAGCTTACTGGGGATCTCTTTCTACAGGGAAACAGAGCTCGCGTTTTACTCATTGTCGTTACCAGTACCACCAATTTATCAAAAATACATACTGGTATGTTTTTGTAAATTCTTCACCTCTTCCAGAAAATCTGGGATGTAAGAAAATAAAATAAATACACAGTTCCTGACATCCTCTTTGGGTTCAGGTGACACCTTTAAGAACTTAAATACAAGAACAATCATATCCACACACTGAAAATAAACTCAGAAATATTTACTGAGGCAGCCTTTCTGTAACATACATTATCTCTCTTTTTCAATTTGCATATATCCCTGCTTCCTTGCTTGTAACCTTACTGTACTTTCCACTATATAAGCCCTAAGGGGACTTTCGGCCACAGAAGCATCACTGATCCAAATTATGGCCTAATTATTAACCAAGAAATACTCATTTACTGTTTTTTGTTGTGCTTGGCTTTGTGTGTCAAACACGTTAAATATTTACACCAAAGAATTCTGGGAAAAAAACAGCAGTTCTTCAAGTTGCGTCTTTCCAGCGTTTATCCAGAGTCATGCATAGTTAAATACTTGTCCTTGGAGCAGGTTTGGACTTAGACATTAAGGGTTTGGTATTGCTTTGTTTTTAAAGAACACTTGGAAATTTCTGTAACATTAGTAGCAACTGTATTGAGAGTCCATTACACAAACTCCCACATCCACTCATCAGCCGTGTTTCTAAAAGCTATATACTTTGCTTACTTTGATTACAGTCAGGATGTAACCCTTCCACTCCTCTCCTGTGTCGAGATTGTCCATCTGCACAGTGACACAAACAGCAGACATTTTGGTTATGTGCTGCTCACAAGAACATGTGATTTAGGGTCACTTTCATTTTAAGTTTTAATAATAGATTTTTGGTAAATTCAAAGTTTTTTGAGGATTCCCTTCAGTTTTTGAGTAGCATGGACCTGAGGCTGACTGCACCCTGCTGAAGAGAAGAGAGAAGTCAGTCAGGCGTCGCTGCAACGCACCTTTAGCTTCACCTCCCCTGTGTGCAGGGTGAGAGTGAAGATGGTTGGCACCTTCCTCTGATAAGGAGAATCTAGCTCCATGGACTTCAGCTGCTCCAGGTCCAGTTTCTCTGTGTACTGACAAAGCAAAGTGCGAGAATTATCATGTATCAAACTCATGTTTGATCAGTAAAACATGTATACATCAATCTGAAATAGAAATAATAAGAAAATCCAAGTCTATGTTCCCGTTCTTCAGTGCACCCTGGCCTCTGTGTTTCTTTCACCTACTTTCTCACAGCAAATACAGATGCCCTTTCTTGCCCTTCAACAGTGTTGACTTTGTTTATGAGGCTTAACAATTTACATCTTTTCTTGGGGAAACAAATGTTAAACTCCCTGTTTAATTAATCATGGTAGTTGAGCAAATTAAGGTGTTTGCTTACTGTATCCTGCGTGTCATCGTCATACAGAAAGAGTGTGGCTCCTCGGAGCTCTCCGTAGTACTTCTTGAAATCCTGAAAATCGCAACTATCATTTTAAATGTCTGCTCTCCACATTCGCCAATAAAAACGGAATTGAATGCAGTCGTAAAACCTTATATTTAAACCACCATCACCATTTATTATTCATTCAGTCGTGTCTCATTATCTCATATACACATTTAGCCTTGTCCATCCTTGTCCTCACCTTGTCTTTGGTGTTTTTCTTCAGCAGGTGTCCAGAGTAGTAGAGGGGTAGATCCGTGATAGTCGCCCTCCTCTTGTGGACGACTCTGAAGTTCGCAGACATCGTCCAGATCTCGGTCAAAGCTGTGTGCTTCTTCTGGCTCCCAGTTTGGTACAGCTTCGGCTCAGTTCACGCCTGTTTGTCCAGCGCTAAAGTCATTAACACTGAATAAACAGTACACTTCAGTTGAGTCCTGAGAAGGTTATGTTCCTTGTTGTTTCCTGGTTCAGCTCTCAAAGGACAAATATAAAATTATCGTTGAGTCTTCAGTGTATCTGATATGATAAATGGTCTATAAACATACACTGATAAGCTATTCTCCCCCTTTTCTTAAGTCTAAGTGCTGATTTGACTGAGAATGAGGAAACGCTGCAGTGATTTATAAAGAAGGAAGTTGTTAGTATAAAATATCGCAAATTAAAAAAAAACCAACCTTTGTACCTGGATCCCCAGCCAAACCACACTCTAATGTGCAAGCTAGATTAATTATTTCCATTTAAGTGAGTAGATATATATATGAAGATGCATTCAGGGAGATTTCTCACAGAGAGATAGCATAATGCACTAAAACAGTTATTCTTGTAAGGTCGACATTCAAATTTAGATAAATAAATTGAAAAACATTTTAAGCGCAAACATACACAAGAACCTAACACACACTCGCCCGGCTCGGGGTTGTGAGTTCAGAAGCTGCATGAATTTGGATGAAATTCATTACAATATCAAAGAAGTTTTGTTTGTTTTTTAATCATAGATCTATGTTACCATTTATGTGGGCTATCATAAATAAACTTACCATCCCATTAAATTACAACATGCATCAAAACAACATCTTTATTACATTAGATAAGAAGTTGTGTTGTAAAAAGGTTCAATTTGTATATATTGTAATTTGGATGAGATTGTAGAGACATTGTTAAATGTAAATACATTTCTAAAAAGTGTTATAAATAAATATGAATAATTTAACATTCATTGTTATTACAGATTACTGTATACACTAAGTATTCATAGATAGGATATATACAAAAGGATCCTGGATTGTAACACCTGTTTAGTTCATATTTCTCTATTTTACAGTGAGACGGTGTAACTTTTGCTAGATAGAGGCCACCGTGGTCACAAGTGACAATTATGTTAAATCCTAGAACTTCACATTAGCAAAGGCAGAGAAGAGCCATAAAGTCTGCGAACTGACTCCGCAATATTAATCTAATGTTTGCTAACATTAGCCACCATAGGCTACTGGTCATACCAGAGCAAGGTCTGAACTAAGCAAGGGTGAGTTTTGTTGCTTGTAAATTTAACATTATTTTGCAAGAGGACTATAGTGTTATTTCTTTTTTTCAAAAATGACATATAGTCTTGCTTTTACGCCTGCTGATGGTGATTTTACATGTGAAATTACCTATTTATTCCCTATATAATATAATTTATATTTACCTTTTTACCTAGGGAGAGTAAGCAATAAAATGCCAACACTGAGAAGCATGCCATAAGCAAACACAGGACTGGTGGTCGCAAAAAACACAGCATCACACATGTAATGCAGCAGCAGCAGAACACAGGACAGAAGGAACGACACACAGTGACACAGCAGGGGCAAAGAAATGGAGATGGACCACAGCAGGCCTTTGATCAACCAGATTGACATCTGGAGGAGGTGCAGGAGCAACCAAACAGTCCAGAGCAGCAGAGATCCCAACAACCACAGAGCTCCGGACGGGAGTAAGACATCGGCATCCTGAAACAGACAAAGAGATGGAGTGAGAGTCTTTTGTCTTGTGTCTGGACTTTGTGAGGCGTTTTATAGTGTTTTAATGTGGACTTACATAGTCTTGTACATCACTGTCTTCCTTCCCAGCGGCTCCCACTCAAGAAAGAAAAAGGCAAACACACTCATAAGAAATGTGTCATAAAAAATCATAACATTCAGCAGGATTTTATGTTTCATAAAGAAGCTACTGGTCATACATTGTAATTCTGAATGTTTTACAGTGTTTTAATGTGGAAACATTTTTGTCACTTACTGAGGAAAGCAAATACCAGGAGGGAAAATAGCACACGGAGCATCAGCAGCCATTTCTCACTGTACTTGTTCCTTCTCTGTGGTTCAACCTACAGTGTATTGATTACCAAAAGGGATGTAAATTATTTTACCCACAACTCAGTAATGATAAGTGTGATAAAATCAACAATGAAATTATTAAAATTAAATTATACAATAGATAGCGTGTGTACAAGATCTTTACTATGACAAAAAAATAAATATCAAGATTAATTAAATACAATTAATATACATTTTGTGAGGCCGTGTGTGCAGAGGTGTAGCCTAATAATTCATGATCCAGTGATTTAAGCTCGTCTGGGTGGATAGAATTAGTCGTGTTTTTTTAAATTAATATACTGTTTACTATGTTTTGGTTTGTTTGTTCAGTCACATAAGATGCACTGCCTGATGCAAAACTACTGATTTTATGATGCAAACGAGCCTTTCTGCTGGATTTAATTTGCAACACCACCAGTGTGTGTTACAATATGAAGTGATGTGCCATTTAAAGCTGGAGTAAGCTATCCAAATGTGTAAATTAGCCTACTAATATTGTATAGCAACAGGCCATAAGCCATATGTTTGGTCTACAGCCAGTTGCATAAAGATGATATTAGACACTACTAGTAATAGGCCTAGCAGCAGCAGAAGGTCTTTTACCTCATCTTTCCCCGTGAAACATGTGAGTCGCCCTCTGCTGTCAGCTCACACTCCCTGCAGATGCAAATGATGTCAGCCACACAGCTGTTGTTGTTGAACTCACCACAGCTGCTGGGTGATCGACACTGTGGACACAGATCATCATCATCACCATCACAGGAGCCCCTCAGGTCGTTGGGACAGCGGGCTGGACGGCGGCAGCACGTTGTCCCTGCTTGTCCAGTAGTGACCAGTGCTTACAGTGGGAAAAAAAAGAAACAAGTGCCAGTATAATCCCCTTATTCACATGTTGGCGTTACATTCTGAATTCCTACAGTGAGATATTGCTCATGTTCATGTAACAAGGTAGGCCTGTATCGGCCTGATTTTGGTGCAGTGATAGTGTGTTGGCTGAGCACTGTGTGTTTGGTGGGCGTGGTCTTCACGTGGGGATGGGTTTATGGTAGACAGGTGTGCTTGGGCGTGTCTCCTGTGGGGGTGGTGATGGTGCAGTGGATAAGATGCCTTTGGTGTGAGAGACCCGGGTTCAATCCCCCACTGTGACCCATCCACCATTGTGTCCCTGAGCAAGACACTTAACCCCTAGTTGCTCCAGAGGCGTGCAACCTCTGACATGTATAGCAATTGTAAGTCGCTTTGGATAAAAGCATCAGCTAAATGAATAAATGTAAATTTACATTGATATAAACAATGGCCTATGATAGTATTAAACCATTCTCCCTGGGCATATTTTTTGTGTCATGTGGTTGGTGGCAGTGTCTGTTGTATGGAATACTGGGTGGATATGTTTCTAAATTGCTGTTTTGTAAAAGTCAGTTTTTGCTTGTCTCCTTCTGTGTACATTGTGTGGGTGTACTGGAGCTGCTGCTGGTATCCACTACAGTGCATGACACGGCTGGGTTTGGGTCTGGAGAATTACATGGTGCAGAACAGCCGCTTAGCAGAGTTACCAGCGACACCAGTGAAGAGGCTACAAAACCGACCAGCCTGTGACCAGCAGCAGCAGAAAAGTCCTTGGTGTGTTTGTTTGGCTTCACCACACGCAGGGAAGGGAAGCTGAGCACTCCCAGCCACGGAAAGATCAATTCCCCTCTACCCAATTGACCCTGAGCTTTCCCCCTGAACTGACTCTTACCTTGCTTGGCTTCAGCCTTGTTTTAACTTCCTTTAATGTGTTTATTTATTAGAATGTATAAAATAAAATATACTTAGGCTATACTGAAGACATAAAAATTAAAACCAGATAAATTAAAACAGGCCAAACAATTAATGACATATAGCAATAAGATAGAAAAAAAAAGTGCCCCTAAACAGATTCAAACGCCAAAGAATAAAAATGAGTTATAGACTGAGTTGTAACCTTAAAAGTGTTGATGGTGGGGTATGATCTAATAATCAGGGGTAGATTATTCCACAGTCTCGGGGCCACCACTGAACAGGCACAATCACCCTTAGTTTTCATAGGAGGCTGTGGGATAAATTAATATAAACACATAAACAAATAATAGGCTATTTATGATGAGTGAATATTAAATCTGCTGAATCTGTTCTTACAGGCCTGCTGATGATCCACCATCTCCTCTACTGACAAACTTAAGCATAGCACCTGTAAATTATAGATACATAGGCTACCACTAATACTTTTATCAGCTGCATCACGCCCGTTTAAACTGGCTCCCCCAGATTCCCCTTTATACTTCTTTAACAATAGTATAAAATAGGGGAGACCGGGGGCAATTGTAACACACTCAATTTCTCCAATCAGAAACAAGCTGGAGTGATGACACTTAATCTGCACATGCTCAATAGGATTCTCTCTCTGCCTGTGGAAAAGGAGCAGGATCATTTCACCTTAGCAGAAGTTTTAAACAAAATACTGATTTTGAGGTATGAAAGTAACTTTTTGGATGTGCAGTATTTTTCTTCTGGTGTCTAAAGTTTAGATGACTGCAAATCTAAACTTGCATACATTTGCATACACTCTAGGTTATTGATTAACAATTAACACTAACAAACTATGCTTATATAGTTGTGGCTAGTGGGCATACAAGATTTTATCATGGCTGCAACTTCAGGGGCAATTGTAACACCAAAGAGAATGACTAGTTCACTCGTAAAAAGCAATTTTATGAAGTTAGAACAGAAAGAGCAGAGGATGCCTGACATCTAAAATAATTTGAACCATTTAAAAACTCTTATGGAACATAATTAGCTGTAAAGTTATTACTTTGAGGTAGCCTAGGCTTTTACTTGAGATGCAGTGGGTTAATATGACTTGTTTTTCAGTGTTACAATTGCCCCCACACACTGCCCCCGCCAAGGGGGCAATTCTAACACTCTGACTTCTTGCATTTAATTAAATATTTTAGTCGTGTTCTTATAAGTGAAAATATATCATAAATATTAATTAGTGCACATATATATGTTTCTTGTATCAAAAGATGACTTGTTTATCTCAAGTACTTTGTGAGTTATTAAGGAAAATGTAAAATATGTTACAATTGCCCCAGGTCTCTCCTACTATTTATCTCTGGCTAAATACTTGATAGCTATTATTTACTGAGAGATGTGCATCCATATTGCCCAGTGTGCCAAAAACATTTTATATTCAGTATTTAATCTATAGTCAATATCAGTCAATTGCTTTCCATCTTGCATTAGTCCAAAGTTGTAAATATTGGCTGAGACTCGATAAGCGTTATCTTTTCTGAGCTGCACGTTATAAACCCATTGGTGTTTATAAAACATAATAAATAGGCTACAGGTGAAACATACAAAGTCACAGAACACATCCCTGGAGGAGGCTGGCAAGAAAGACACAGACAGACCAAGAGATGCACTGCCCAGCCTACACATCAACTTCACCTTACTGTTTGCCTAAATCACACATGGAGGCGAGAGAACACACGTTTACCTGATTGCTGTTAACGCAGTTCTCCCTTAATGGGTTCTTTCTCTTTTCGTGAGGATAGTTCCGCTTCCTCTCCTGGAAGTTGTAAACGCTGACACCAGGGGCGAGTTCAATCTCAAAACGTTTTGCACCGGTTTGCAACGTTTTCGGATTGAACGACATGTTTACTTGCAACGTTCCGCAACGGGCTTCGAGGTAGCCTATATTTTCTTCTGTTTGGTGGCCTGTCACATGTGTTACCCAATCAGCTGCGACAAGTATGCCTACACTACACGCATGGCCCCAGCTCTGCTACCCAAGGCAAATTGTGAGTGCCAGCCGGGAACTTCAGGCTGAACAATTGTATCCAGTTTCTCCTCTGTGTCACCACAGGGCTGGGAGAGTGGGTAATACCCTACGTTTTGAGTCTGCATATTAATAGAAATTTATATAAAATAGACTATGGACCTAAATCTAATATAAAGAGGTGCGTCTCATTTGCCTAGTGTAGTAGGCTACTATAATTTGGGCATTGTTTGGAGTCCCTGGATCACACAACATGGAAGCTCCTGAGAAAAAAAAAGATTTTTCCATGACACTATTATAACAATGGTAATTTATTGATGGTCCCTAAGCAAACCCCCAATGGTTAAGAGCCAGTCCTTGGAGGCGAATTTACCATTCTTACACTGCCAACACCGGGTGAAACTGAGTAAGAAGACGCCACTGGATCCTGAGTGAATATGTGTATATATGTCGTATATCCAACTTGAAACTAACTTCACCGCGGTTATAAGATGTAGATGCTGTGAATAAAAACATAATTCCAATGTGTCCTCTTACTGCAGTAGGCCTAGTGTTTATTTTCATGTAAAAAGAGAGAGCAGGTGAAAATGGCTGATTTAAAGATTGAAACAACACAACCCAGAGATTTAGTAGGATACTGGTGTACGCCTAAATTATACACCGGTACTTCTGGCTCTTGTTGTATATCACAGCACACAGCCGGCGTGGGTCAGGTCCCTGCTGGTTTTGATGTCTAGACCAAAAATAAGAGCTCCCCGTTGTCTGGCTTTGCACTTGTGCCACTATTCTCCTAGCAACCAGGGCTCATCTCATAATGTTCACAGGAGAATCCACTTCAGCAGCAGCCACTTCACTTTTGTTGTTTGTGAAAGTGAATCAGAGTCAAATATTGTGACTGTGAAAACTTGCTGATACTGTGTCCTATAACCAACCAAAGTACTGACAGCTACTGCCCCCTACTGAGGAGAGCATAGATGTATTTCTTAGAGATGTTCTGCAGGAAAAGCATGGTGAAACTTTAATTATGGCTCTGTTCTATTAAGGGTGTGTCAATAAACAGTAAACACTTTTACACGCAGCCTGAAACTCTTCCACTTATTGCACATAATGTTTCCATTATTAATCATTTACTTAGTTTATAATAATGTATTCATTATGTATTTCATTCATGTATTGTACTTAATTATCATTCTCTCTCCTCCTGCTGTAGTTCTACTCCTGCCACTTCTTTCTACCCATTCTGCCCGGCCTGGAAGAAGATTCTTCCAAAGTTTTTTTTTCATTCAGAATTTAAGGATAGTTGAGGTTGTCCTTTGAGTGTGGGTGCATGTGCTTGTATGTAGATTTAAAAAAATGCCACCATGTGTCTCTTCCCTACATGCCTCCTATAGACGGAAGTCCCCTGCTGGCAACAGATTTCTTTCTCAGTAGTGTTCTTTGACCCTGCCAGTCCCTCTGGTGTCCCATCTTCTCCTTTAATCCCTCATGCTGGAGGGGAGGCAGTGGAGACTCACACTATATAAGGAGAAATAAAACTGTCTCTGTTCTCCATCATGGGGCTCCTAATGATGCTCCCCCTGAACCACTGACTGAGGAGAAAATGGCCACAATCGTGACAGGGATGGGGGATAATACGTTGGACGGATGAAGCCTCTGAAACAACAGCACGCATGTTCTTTGACTCCAAATTATGTAAATAAAACATGAAAGGTGAGGTATGTCATTTCACTTTTATTTCAGCATGTTTGTAATTGTGATTTAGGTTTCTATCTCAATGCCAGTCATGTTGTAATAATTCCAATCAATCCAACTTAGAAATTGGCACTAAGGGGATGATATTCTTTCTTCTGAGCTCTTTTGCTGCCCTGTTCAGCTGTAATGACACGGAGGCCCTAGACAAAAGGACAGATGAGAGAAAACTCTTTGAGAAATATATTAAAGCTGAACTCATGTTAGACACAAGTGATCATCTTTTGATGCAGACTGACCTAATAGGGCTGGATTATGATTATCTGGCAGGCCGGGGTAAAAGGTCGAGCTGGATATGGAGGTCAGGCAGGGGTCAGAACATCCCCAGGAGTCATTACAGGAACATGGCTGGTCGTGGTGGAAGCTACAGGAGATGTCCCTTCCTGGAAAACAAAGCAGCTTCTGTTCAGGTTCACTTTTATTTATCTGCCTACCTACATCCCCCTACTGCATTGTCACTTGTTCTAGTTAGTAGAATGACAAAATACACACGTGTGTGTTCCCAGCTGTAAGCTTGCATATTTATCTATGCAATCTCCTTTTCTAATGGTTGCAGTGATGGAGGAGTGGAGGTGTAAGCGGGCCTGTAATGAGAGGCTGAGGTGAGGGGAGGCAGAGAGGAGCCGAGAACCTGCTGGCTGAGAGGACAGAAGCCTGGGGCGGTGAGGTGGATCTCCTGCTGCGGAGGTTGTTTCAGCCAGAGTAATATTAACACAGGACCACCGGCTTTACTCATCAGTCTGCTGTGTGGTCTGGTCCCACAGAGAGTCCACTGTAATCTCTGCTCTGCAAATACACCCATCTACACAACATGTTTAATCTAGTGTGGAGTCTTACATTTTGTTTTTAAAACACAAGAGTAGAAGTATGTAATTCCTTTTTGGCAATTTTAAACAATGTGTTTCAATAACTTGCATCAAATGTCATTTTCTTGATATGAGTCGGTGTTAAATCTTTAAAAAACATAATGGATTTCTCTTTGTTAGGTTTCCATATTTTAAAAAGGCAGTAGCAATTAGGTCCCAGTTAAAATAACAACCATTAGCATCTTCTATCATTCACTATTAGAACATACTAATAAAGAACATTGATCTCTTGAATCCCACCTGCCAAACAGTACACAATGAAGAAAATATACATACTGTAATTGTTAATTGGCAATTGAGACGGAACTTGTGACTGTATTTAAGGTAATGGAAATATCTGTTCAAATCAGTGGTTCTCAAACCTTTTCAGTCATGCCCCCCTTCAGAAGTCGAAAATAGTTCTTGCCCCCCCACCCCAGCAAAAGTGGATTTCATATTTATCAATCATTAATAATAGTAGTTGATTGAAATAAACATGATTCAGGTTATCAAAATATATCCTTGCAAGCATCAGAGCATTTTTGTTGGTTGCGCATGAATCATATTCATTCAACTTTAGGTCCACTCAACATCTACAACCCCCCTGAAGTGGCTCTATGCCTCTGAGTCTAAGAGCCACAGGTTTAAAGGTTCAGTGTGTACGTTTTAGTGGCATCTAATGGTGAGGATTGCGTATTGCATCCGGCGGCTTGGTCACTGCTCACCCCTCTCATTCCAAGCACGTAGGAGAAGCTACCTGGCCTACACACTCTGTGAGCTCTTGTACTAAATAATATGTGTGGTCCTCTATTTGTCCAAATTTCACTTATCTTCATACTTCTAATAAACCAGTCAACTACTTCTACTAGTACTAGTTCTTCTTCTTCTTGTATGTATTCAAAAAGCGCTTTGTGGAGCCATTTGTCCGTTTGGGCTGTAGAAACATGGCGACTTCCATGTACGGGGACCCGCGGTGTATGTAGATAGAAATGGCTTAATAAAAACATAACAATTCATAATGTAAGGTTTTTATACACCACTGAACATAGTTATGTAGCCTGTGTTATATTGCATTTCTGTCAATAGATCCTCCTAAGTATTACACACTGGACCTATAAATGAAAAGTAAGCTAAATGGAATTCAGCCATCATTCATTTTATTATTTACACCCGTACTTTTTCTACTGTGGCATACCAAAAAGTCTTTGGTCAAACAGGCCTTTCAAGCACAAACATATATATTCATGCGCACTTTCAAACATACACAAATACACTGATCACAATAATACCTTCCTTATTTTGCTGCTGCATTTCCTGATGCCTAGAATTCCACTGATGGAATAGGTGGACTCTGAGGAAGAGGCTGTTCTCATGGCAGATGACGCTGATGATACTGCAGGGGCAGAGGTCGGTGTCAGGAAACATTAGAGAGACACAGACAGACCAAGAGAGAGAAGAAGGGAAAGACAAACTCACCAACTTCACACGACTCAGACTGGACTTTGTTTCTGATAATCCTGTAAAGACAGAGGGAAATCACTCGACACTCACTTTTAATGATCCATGCTGTCATGCCCAACACATCAGGTCATCTAGCCTACCTGTTGATGGAGCTGATGCTGGGCACGCTGTCATGGTCACACACTTGCTCCAGCAACAGCCTGTCTCGGATCTCCCAGGCGAATATGTTGGGGTTGGTGTGTTTCAGGTGCAGGATCATTTGCACAACTCTGGGAGTGGCCACTTTGGGCTTAGAGCCTCCAATCAATCCTGGTCTGATGCTTCCTGTCTCATTGTACCTGAATTCACAATATTGATATCTCTCAGGAAGGATAACATTTTACCTGAGGTAAAGGTTTTATAAATAAAAATAGATGTTGATATGATTTATGTAGGGTATAAGTTGGAAAAAAAGTGAGAAAAAGCAAAAAGCACCACCATGGATGAAAGGAGCAAGAACACCATGTGCTTATGAGATTTACTTAGGCTATATTAAAAAGAAATAATTTCTGAATTATGCATCCTGGGATGATCACACAGCTGACCAAGCACAGTCTCTTTATACCTGGCCAGTATTTTGCTGACACAGCCGTGACTGACGCGCAGGCGGCGGGAGATCTGGCAGGGACGCACGCCCTGTTGAGCGAGCTCCACGATGCGCTGTCTCACCACGTGCGGTAACGGGCGCCCGTTAATGAAGACACCGCCGAGCTGGTTCACCCCGCCGTGCCCTGAGCACCCGAGCGGATCAGAGAAACACCAATCGAAAGGCATGGATACATTCCAGCATTCAAGCGTAATTTAGGCTACCGCATGGACAGCCGCGCACTCAACAAAAGTGTTAAAAGAGGTGGTATAACTTTAGGCTACTCTACGTAGACTACTGGTAACACCTCATAACTTTCATTTAATAAGAAACATCGCTACTTACTGTGCGTAAGGGTGAGCGGCACCTGTCCAAAGCGCACGTCCATCACAGACTGTTGTCTGCTAAAAAAGGTTGTCGTCCTGCTCAACTTCTAGACATCGGTACAAAGAGTTGTTCATCTTATTTCAAACACAACACTGAAAAAAAAACTTTTTAAGAGAGCACTGCTCAGTCTTGTCCAGTATGTTTTTGTTTGCTGTGCGGAGTGACAGTGTCTGCCTTCAGCACCTGAGCGGTGGACAGCTGCACGAGCCTTTGATTGGACGCACACGCGCGGGTACATGCGCTCTATTATATTGTTGCTTTTTTATGCTATAGTCGGTTCTTGGGATCAGAGCTGTAGCCAGGATTTGAGGAAAAGAGATGTCGTGAGTCCAAGTCCCCTAGTCTCAAAAAGGATAGCCATTAATAATGTTTCATTCAGTTAACTGTTCAATTAGTAGCCTATATATGTTATTTTCCAACATGATTGTGTAAGTAGTTACCAATAGGCCTACACAAAATGTGCTAAAAGTTAGGTAAGGATATGGAAGCCGAGTTTGAAATTATGTTTCTAAGTATTATCCCAACTCAAATTCTGCTGGAGAAACAGCTTAGCCTACCAAATCAATTGAATTTTTGTTGGTCGAGGCTCAAATTTCAGTAGCCCAGGTATATATGTAGTCTAAAAATATTGGAATCGGCCCATACAATAGCCATCATGTGTAAGTTTTTAAATGGTTGAAAATAACCCCCCATGTTACAGCTACTGTAATCCCCAGAAAGAAAATAGGCTACCGAATAAATGAAGATAGTGTCTCCAAATGGCTAGACTACCTGAAAAATTAAAATGCTTGTGATATGAACATCAATCTTATTGTTTATTATTGAAGATTCCGCCTTCAAGACTTTGTAAAACAAGAAAACTGTGAAATATAATTTCACTTGTTCCCATTCCATCCATCCACCCTAATAGCCTAATTAGGATGCTCATTTTTGCATTATGACTTTAGTATTTTGCTCAGTTTGAGTGACTAAGTAGGGCTACATTTAAGCAGTAGGCTTTCTTACTTTGAGTAGTTCCATTTATTCCCTAGGAATAAGTAGACGAAGTAGTTGTTGAAGTAAGAAGTAGTTGCTATGAGAACAAACTTGGACAAACAACAAACAAGCGTAGAGCCATTTATAATGTGTTATTAATAACAATTTATTATGACTTTAGGACTACTATATTATAAATTGCACATTACTAAATCCACTCCAGGGCTTTCAGGAATGAACTTGTACCCAAACTGGGTTTTTTAAACGCTGGAGGCAGTTCTGGTTGTCCAACATTTTAACTCCCGGAAACGCCGGTAAAGTGCTTCAAACATGTAAACAAGAATGGAAGCAACGGCTCTCTCAGCTGTATGGAGGGAAACATTAGTATTGTGCATTGCGTAAAGTCGCCACCGTTATATACTGGACTACAATGGTAAGCGCCAGAGAAGTGTTATTATAGAGTTTATTTCACTTGTATGTGTTCGCTAATTTAGCTATTTCAATTGCCTCGGCTGCTAAAGAGCTAACGTTAGCATAGCGTCGATTAGCATGATGTTAGCCCACGTGTCAATACATTTTTTTTATCACAATAACACGTTTTAGAAAAAGCATCCCCTATCCCGGCATTTTTATTTCGGCCGGTGCTAATGATTAAGAAAAAGTTGTGGTTACACGAGACATTACCCGCCGCTGTTTTAAAGCAATGCACTGAGACATCGGTGGGTGGTGCTGTTCAGCTGCTGTTTTCAGGTTGTACTATGGACTCTACTAAGGAAAATGATGGTGAACACGATGATGGTGAGGAAGGCGGCAAAGACGATTTCTACTTTATTGAGGATTGCAGTAGTTCAGGCGGCGAAGAAGAGGTCAAGTTCAGTCACCAAAACCTCACAGCAGCTGCAGAGAAGCTGCACGGCTCTGCAGGGAATGCTCTCCTCCGCTCCTCCTGAAATTCAGCATCAATCCTGGACGGCCGCTGCACAGCAGGACGAGTCCTACTTCCAGTTTGGACTTAAGGGAGGAGGACAGTGACCAGCCCGTCGAGGAGTGGATGATCCTGGGAAAAGAAGAGCAGGTGGAAGACTCAAGTATCCAGCTCAACCTGAGCTACTGGAACAGCTCTGAGGATGACTCTGGAGATGAAGGTTAGACCATACTTGATGCCACTCTGGGTTAACATACAGCTACTACAAGTGCAAGAAAATTGTTTTTATAGTAGTTAAATTTGCATTGTACCTGAAGAAAAAAACAAGTCAAACTGTGAGTGAAGGGATGTGTCCAAAGTTGTCCAGCTACATGTGCTGAAGGATCGTCTTTAGCCATGTAACATTAATAATATGAAAAATATCTATACAAGAATCAAACATGAAACACACATTTAGGCTCATCCAATTTATGTCAGTGAGTTACAGAATATAGGCTACAACTGTGTGAATTTGGTGTGTATGTTGTGTGAGAATATTCAGCTACATTTGATTTACATGTTAATGTCATTAAACAAGTCCTGTCTCATATATAGGCAGGGAGAGTTCAGTGAGTGAAGCAAATAAAAGCCCAGGCCAGGGTATTAACTGAAGTTTTACTGTACGTGAATGACCATAATTCACAGCTGATAGCAAATGGCATGGTGCAGTATGGAAGCATATCACCACTTGCTTTTATTTAACAATGTGGAAGTGCTTAAGGATGAATCTTTTCATTAATAAAAGGCTAAATGATATGCAAAAACTATATATAAATAAAACATATTGCAATTGTGACATGAGACCATTTTAGTGGGAATGGTAATCTTTGCATTTCATTTTCACAGAAAAAATATAAAAAGGATGATGGTAGGATTTTGGCTGGGGACTGTACCAAACAACAATGTTCCCTTACTTCTGGAGAATATGATTTGTAGACTGGGCCATCTCTGTAGCACCCCAGTGCTTCATTTATAATGGCATGTTGTGACACATTTGACCTTTTTTATCAAAAAATTGCAGCTGCGTTTTGAATAATGCACTTGGCTATATTGCAATTTCAATAATATTGCAATTAATTGTTCAGCCCTAGTTAAAATCGGGTGATTTTAATTAAGGGAAAGATTTTAATAATTGTGATTTAATTTGTGATTTTAGTTCAAATGGTGAGAACACAGCTTTGAATTTCCCCGGCCTTTCTGTGTGGAGTTTGCATGTTCTCCCCGTGTCTGCGTGGGTTCTTTCCCACCGTCCAAAGACATGCGGCCTAGGTTGATTGGTGACCCTAAATTGTCCTTAGGTGTGAGTGGTTGTTTGTCTGCAATGGACTGGCGACCTGTCCAGGGTGTACCCTGCCTTTCGCCCGATGGGATTGGCTCCAGCCCCCCGTATGCCTCCAACCCTGTAAGCAGGATAAGCGGTTGACAATGGATGGATGGAAAACAGGATACACTGCTGTTGTTTTTCTAAAATTTTGTGGACAACTATTAGGATTATCTTTTTTTTTCTGTCTAGAAAAAACTCCAATCCAGTATAACAGATAACTCCATCAGTATTAATATTCCATTAATATTTCATGTACAGCTCAGCAGGGTAACCAGCTCTGTTATTGTGTTTCAATGCTCCAATGTGGGATAAAAAAAATAAAGATGAGTTCAGATAGAAATGCATTTCATGCAGAAACAGTACATAGACACAGATAGTTAAACAGATTCCTGTAAATCTATGGGAGTGCAATTTATTTTTAAACTCACACAGAGACATTTTGGTCAGCATGCACTCAGTTTTTCAGAAATGCTCTGCTTCACATTAATAAAGATACTCACATTCGCACCAGGGCTGACATTGCACAGGCTGTACAGGCTGACCCTGTACATCCACTCCATCTTATCTTGCCAGCCAGCAGCTCCACTGGACCAGAGAGGTTTTCAGATTCTCCTTACACCTCACCTCGGCGATAGTTATTGTGGGAAGGTCAAGTGTTTTCCATTTTATAAGCCCTGAAAGAATACCTGGGAAAGACTCAATTTATTAGAATTGGGAAAATTTCCTGATCTGCCTTTTGATTTGTAAAACCTTTTTTTTTTGGAATTGTGTTTTACATTTTAAGAGGTATCCTTTAAATGTTAATGTATACACACATTTACTACAAATTGTAATGTTCTCCTTGGTCATTCTCTCCATTATAGATCAGACTGTGATACCAGTTAAGGATATCTGGGCTGTATCAGAGAAAGACAAGGTAAGTTTTAATATCTATTAATTGTCAGGAATACTGTAGTAGTTATTAAAGAAAACAAATCTACTGTTATTATCCAGGTGTCTGATATGGGGCACTTAAATAGTTGTTGAGTAGCAGTGAGTGTTTTTTTTCCAACTCTTTTTTTTTTTTCATATTGTCAAAATTCAAAAGCAAATAATTTAACGTTCTCTTGCCATTTAACAGTAAGAAGAAATGTATTCATGTATAAAGAATTCATTTTAAAAAAAATACATGCCAATGGCTTAAAATGAAGACAACTGTTACCTATGCTAAGGATATCTATTGAAAAGATCTGTTAACAGTAAAGATAAGCTCAGAATTTAGAAAACTGGCTAAAGAAGGAAATAACGTTTGGCTGTGACCTACTATTGCAGCGTGTGCTCAGTATTAGGAACTTACTTGTCTGTCATGTGTCTGTTCTCATATTATCTAGTGGGGTGCTGATCAGTCTCTGCCCAGCCGATATTTTGTGCCTGGTCGTTCTCTGATCTGTAACATCTGTAACAGGACGGGACACCTTGCCAAAAGCTGCTACTACCACAAGGTAAAGGAATATACACATAATAATCTTTCACACTGCCATTAAGTAGGTAGAAAGACAATATTAAGACTTTGTAGAAGAAATAACCATTGCAGTAGTTTGATACGGTTGTTGATTAATACTTACTAAAATCGCTTTCATGTGGTGTCCTTTTGGTCTAAAGTGCTTGCCAAAAAAAAGTGCTTCCTGCCGCTCTATACTTTTTACCATTTCAGACTGCCATAAATTACACCAGAGACAGCATGTGAGTGTTGATGAAATTCCATGGCCACCTGTAGAGGTTGGATCATAACTGCCATCCTAACACTCTCATCCAAAAACTTTTTTTTTTTTGTTTCTGTGTCAGCAGAAATGTCCCACCTGTGTCCTTTGTGGGATCCAGGGCCACATTCAGAGGGACTGCACGGGCCGCCCATGCCCCAGCTGTGGACTACCTTCACATGGCTTCACGCCCTGTGAAAGGCCCCCGGTGTGGAACCAGCACTGCGAGCGCTGTGGGATGACGGGGCACCTTTCTGATGTGAGTTTGTCCATTAGGCCCTGGGTCTGGCCCTTGTGAGTGTGATGCCATGTCGAAGGAAACTGTAAAAGCATTTGTCAGATGTGTGGATATTGTATAGCCTCAGGCGTGTGTGGGCCCCATTTCTGAAGTTTTTTTTACTATATTGCTAAAAAGAGTAATGTTCTCCTCTTTTTTTTTTTCCTGGGTTTTCCTCAGGCCTGTCCTGATACATGGAGACAATACCACTTGACAGTGAGTTGATGTTTTGACTTTACTGAACTTTTCTTATCTCACCTCACCTTGTGAATGTCCTCAGAATTAGAGGAAAAAATTTAAATTATCCAAACGGGGAGGAGTTGGTAGAGGACCATAATCAGGTTTTTAATACTCTGGTGAAATGAAAAGTTTGAATGCATGGATATAAAACTCCAAAGAATTCAACTAATGTCCTTAAATATTTAAAAATGTTATTTGTTTCACCTTTATTCCAGATCCGGTTAGAGGTTCCACTCAGGCCATTGACCAACCACACCCTAAAACATAAGCATTACCCAGCTTATTGTTACAATTGCTCTGAGAGGGGACATTATGGCTACGTAAGTGGTCAATGAAAGGAGTCCTTCGCTTACTTTAAAATTTCTCCTTCTTGACTTGATCGTCGCCTGCCTTAATCTGTTATGCCTTTCTTTCTCTGTCTTTTTCTTTACACTGTCGTGTCTCTCTTCCTTTCTCTTCCCCTTTGTACAACATACTCCTCTCTCTTTCTGTATCTTCTTTTGGATTGGACTTTACTGTACCTGCCCTTCTTTGATCCTCTTGCTCACTCATTTGCAATTGCATCCACTCTTTTGAATCCATCCCTCAATCACGTTGTTTTTTGCAACAGCGCCGTTCTCCGCCGTCCTACATCCATCCTTCACCTTTTCTCTTATTTTCTGCCTGTCTCCCTACATCTGTGTTGGTATCAGGAGTGCACTAAGAGGAGGATGGTCAGTGGGACTTGTCCTTCACTGCCCTATGTTTGCCACTATGACACCATGGAGGACATCCTCCAACGTCGTACCAGGATGCAGAGACAAGCCAAAGGTGACAAAACACGTTATAGTATGTACAGAATAATTGTAAATGTGATGATGTAAACATTTGCATAAAATTCTTTGTTTTATCTGTGCTCATTTGATTTATTTTATAAGTGGGGATTTGGGATTTAATCTTAGCTGAATAATAAACACATCTAGCCTTTGAAGGGTCCCCTCTCACACATTTTTTGGGATTGTAGCATACACCAGTTGGTGCTCTCAGCAGTTACCTATTTATAAGGTAACTGTAGCATTTAGTCAGGAGCAGATATCCTCAGACTGTATACAACTCTAAGATGATGATTCCACTCTCAACTGCGACAGCCTCCAGTTGGTGGGTCAGCGGTGGTAACCAAATCACTGCCCATCTGCCCCTGACTTCCAGCTACTCTCCTCTCACCTACTCCATATCCAGCATGATGCTCTCTATGCTTCCTACCCCATTCACCGAGTTACATCCCCTTCCTCCTTCTGTTGACACCCAGTGCAGTCGCACTTTCCTCACATGTGCCCTTTTGACAACCCTCCTCACATGGCATTATCGTCTTTTCTTCTGGGGACCATAACACAATGTCAATAGATGTAGAGAGGTATGGACCACATCTAGAAAAATGGAGGCTTCCGTCCAACATCAACCTTCATCTCACAAGAACTTGTCATTTGTAGTATGGTAGGTTGAGGCCTGTGCGACATGTCTGGCTTGTTTCCCTTCTGAACAGTTTCATTTCCCGCTTCATCTGCCTATCTTGCTGTAATGTGTCAGCAAAGACCAGCACAAAATTGTCATGGTACCACCTATACTGGCTTTGGGTTAGAGCTGTTTTGCACTCTGTCTTTATGTGTGCCAGAGTCCCCTTGCTGCCCCCAGAGTTTGCAGCTGGGGTCCTCTGCCACCATGTGTGCAAGCATGCTGATGAGGGCAGGATGTCATATACTGACCACAGTAGGAATGAGATGTGGAAAGGCTCTTGTCTCCACAGCACTGCCGTCGTTACCTTCCTCTTGCATAGCTCCCTCTTAGTCCAGGACTCCTGGACGGCGTCAGCTGCCCATTTGCGGCCTGATCTTGTAGCTCCAGCTTGGTGCACATATGCAACCAGTCTGTTAATGTTAGCAAAGCTCTGCAATTTGCCATCTTACTTTGCACTCCTTGCTTCAGGGTGTTAATAACATTAGTAGTCTGACATCAATACATTGCACTTGCCATTTAATTGGGCTGTACTCTGGGCTGAAATAGATGGTATGGGCTCTTCTTTTACTTGAAAGATGTCCTACCTGGTGATTTTGCCTTTCCTAACCACCATGCACCTCGACTTCGTATGTTGAAACATTGCACAGAGTTGCCAACACCCATCTGGTTTGTATGTGAGTCTCTGTGAACCCCTGAATGGCAGGCTGCTGAACGCCAGACTCCAAAATTGGGCCATGGGTGACATCTGCTGCTGCTGAAATTATGAGGTTCATGGCCATAATAAACAAGACGAGGGAGCTGGGGCAGCCAGTTTGAATTCCAATTTGGTTATCTGGCTGATGATCAAATGTGCTTCCTGAAAAATCTGGAATGCATCCATTTTAGATCAGCGTCTCGACATGGCTGTTCTTGATCATGTATGATGTCGGCCTGCCTGCAAGTACTGAGAAAAATATCTTGCACTCTACATTGAGGGGGGAGATTCTTCTTAACTGGCGGATTGTGGGGAAATCCTCTTCCTTAGGGATAAAACAACCCTGAGCACTTTTCTAGCTTGGTGGGATGATTCCATTGACCCAAACCCTTCATAAGCTTGCAGTCGCTAAAAGAGCTTTAGGC